CCTTCTTAAAAGAACAGTTATTGGATTTAAGGCCCATCTCAATCCAGTATGACTTCATCTTAATTGAATTACATCCACAAAGACCTTATTTCCAAATAAGGTCACCTTCTGAGGTTCCAGGTGGACATGAATTTCAGTGTCCCATACAATATTTAATCCCATACAATAAGTAAAAGAGCTTATTATTATTTTAACCTTCAGCCCTTATTGAAAGGGAACACACACACACACACACACACACCACTAGCACAGAAATGCTGATGACAAATAATGGGACATCTTAACTGTAGACTGGCTTATGGATACACTTGCTCGCTGGTTGGGTTAAGTCAGAATGTGTCCCACCTGAGGCAGGTGACCAACTAAGCTTGTCCTGATTCTGATGCCCTGAGCAGGTACTGTAAAATAATATAGAATAACCACAAAAATGTTCCTTGCTTTATTTTTACCAGCACATAGCGCTCAAATCATTGGGGAAAGTGTAATGTCAGTGACAATCTTCAACCCCAGGGTTATCCTCTATTTGATGCTGAAATCACTCCTAAAGTCTTAGAATAGTCTCTACTTTGATTCAGGCCTCGATTTGACACCCAGAGCTGTACCACCTTTGGCAGGTCATAATCTCTAGGCCTTGACTTAATAATCTTTATGAAAATATGCCTCACATAGGACAAACTGGGTAATTCCTAGAGTCCCTCCTTCCTCTACATGGGTTTCCTGACCTGACTCTTCCCCAATCAGTTCCCTCAAATCATGCAAGGGCTCTGGGTGAAAGATGGCAGATAGGTGACTTACCTATCTTTCCAGGCCAGTTACAAAACAGAACTGTTCTACACCTACTCGACACCTCCCCATCCTTTCCTCTGCTGCTTCCAACCACGTTGCATGTTTTCCAAGGTCCCTTATAGCCATCAGCCCTGACAAGGAGCATAACAGCCTCCAAGTTTTTCTCCCTGCTTCCAATCTAATCGCCCAAGAGCTACCAGTGTGATGTTTTTATAACAAGATGGGGAGAGGTTGTTGCTCTGTTGCTTCAGAATTTTTCAGTAGCAACTCATTATAATTTTGGTAAAATCCTAATTATTCACTGTGACTCACCAGGTCCCAAATGACCTGGTCCCCTTTTTTTTTAAAGATTTTTATTGGGGAATTGGGGGATTGGGAACAGTGCTGGGGGATTGGGGAAGGGGAACAGACAAGTTGCTGTCGTTTTGTTCTTCAATCTAGTTGTGGAGGACGTTGCTTCACTTGCCC